GAAGCAATGCCTGTCACTCCAGGGTTCCAGTGGGAAATTAACCACTTCGGGGTATCTCACTGATCAGAAGAGATGGGCTTTGAGTAATCCTTTGCGTCTCTGTCACCCAGAAGAGGAGTGACAAATCCGTGGGGAGTGAAGCAACACAAAGCAACAAGACAACACAACAAAATAAGTATCCAGGATATAAAGGAGGAAATTTATAGAGATTAATACCTTAAAAAAGAACACAGCAGAACTCCTGGAACTGAAGGATTCTTTCAGCAAAATAAAAAACACAACCAAGAGCTTAAGCAGCAGGTAAGAGCAAGCAGAAGGAAGAATTTCTGATCTTGAAGACAGTCTTTTCAGAATAACCCACCTGGAACAAAAAAAAAAAAAAAGGAAGGAAGAAAAAATAATTTTCAAAAATGAAGAAAATCTGAGACTAGCAGATAACCTGAAGTGCATGAACATCCAAATCATGAGTATTCCAGAAGGGGAGGAGAAAGGAAAAGGCATTGAAAACCTACTCAATGAAATAATAATGGAAAACTTCCCAGGTATAGGGAAAGAGACAGAACTTCAGATCAAACCATTAGCTAGGCTAACTAAAAAAAATAAAAGAGAACCCAGATAAAAAAATTAGAAATGAAAAAGGAGACATCACAACTGATACCACAGAAAAAAAGTCTTTGCCCAGCCCTATTTCCTGAAGTGTTTACCCTATGTTTTCTTTTAGAAGTTTTATAGTTTCAGGTCTTATATTTAAGTCTTTAATCCATTTTGAGTTAATTGTGGTATATGGCGAGAGGTATGGATCTAGTTTCATTCATTTACTATGGATGTCCAGTTTTCCAAGCCCCATCTATTGAAGAAGCTGTCTTTTCTCCAATATATATTCTTGGTGCCTTTGTCAAAGATCAGGTGGCTGTAAGCATGTGAGTTGACTTCTGGGTTTTCTATTCTGTTCCATTGATCCAAGTGTCTGTTTTTATTCCAGTACCATGTTGTTTTATGTTACATAGTTTTGTAGTATAATTTAAAGTCAGGTAGTATTATGCCTCCAGCTTCTCCCCCCCGCCCTCAGGATTTCTTTGGAAGGAAAAATAAACAAATAGGACTATTTCAAATGAAAAAGCTTCTGCACAGCAAAGGAAACAACAGAGTGAAAAAACAACCTACAGAATGGGAGAAAGTATTCACAAACTATGCATTCAACAAGACTGATACCCAGAATATAAATATACAAGGAACTCAAGCAACTTAACAGTAAAAAAAACAAGGAATCCAATTGAAAAACAGGCAAAGGAGCTGAATAGGCATTTCTCAAAGGAAGATAACCCAAATGGCCAACAGACACCTGAAAAATGCTCAACATCACTAAACATCAGGGAAATGCAAATCAAAACCACACTGAGATATTGCCTCACCCCAGTTAGACTGGTCATTATTAAAAAGACAGAAAATAAAAAGCACTGGTGAGGATGTGGAGAAAGGGGAACCCTATCTCACTGTAGGTGGGACTGTAAATTAGTGCAGCCATTATGGAAAACAGTATGCAGGTTCCTCAAACAACTATAGATAGATCTACCATATGATCCAGCAATCCCACTTCTAGGTATATACCCCAAGGAATGGAAATCATCATGTTGAAGGGATACCGCACTCCCATGTTTATCGCAGCTGTATTTACAATAGCCAAGAGTTAGAACCAACCTAAATGTCCATCAATGGACTTCTGGATAAGGAAAATGTGGTATATATACACAATGGAATACTATTCTGCCATACAAAAAATAATGAAATGTTGTCACTCACATGTGAAAGCTACAAAAATTTTTAAAAGATACAACAATCATAATATTTTCAAATTTCTTAAAAGGAAAGAACAGAACTGAGGCCACCAGAGGTGGGAAAGGGGGTGGGGGGTTAACAAGAAATTGGTAAAGGGCAACAAGAAATGGTTACATTGTGTAATGTTCAATACATGAATTATTCTGATTTGAGCATCACATTATTGCACACAGGTATCGATATTCAACACTGTACCCCACAGATATGTACAATCATGTTTCAATAAATAAAATACATAAATGAATAAATAAAATTTAAAATAAATAAATAAAAACAAATGGAAACAAATGAACCTATCTACATAAGCAGTTGGTATATGACCACAAGGAAAGGAATTATTTCAAGAGACTTTATCCAATGATTGTAATTCATTTTCTCTGGCATGACGAAACAATGACCCTGGTAACACACTGATAATATAAACTGCATTATGCACAACTAGTAACAGGTAGCCAAAAAAATCTATCATAATTCAAATGCAACAGTCTGTCCCAATAGTATATGGTTCATATCCTGTATTTTTCATTCAGGCTAATACAATTGTCCGTCACCTTCTCCTCTTCTGTATGAGATATCAGTCAATTTGGCCAGGATACAGCTTGCAAGCTTAGGACCATTCTCCATAGTTGGAATATGTATCTTCTCACCCTTGTATAGAATATCAGAAACTGGGTAAACAACACAGACTGTACCAGAGCCAAACATCTCGCTCACTCTGCTCCCCTCCAGGGCAGTTGTCAGGTCATCCAAGGTAAGGTGCCTCTCTGGCACCTTAGATTCAAGCACTTGTGTGCCAAGTCCTGAATGCACTGCCTTCACCCCTGGAAGGATGATGCCATCTCACGGGGGAGGTGCCAGTTTCTTTTCCCCATCTTTATTTATCTAGTAAAGAAAAAGGTTTATAGTTCTACCTTCAGTTATCTGGCTGTCCTTTCCACAGAGCCACAGAACCTACTGACAGCAATTGTCCATTGTTTCACATTGGGCAAAAGAAATGAGCTGAACTTCCCTTTCATCTTGCAGTCCCCAGTTCCACCTTCCCAGGCTCTTACATTATTTGGTTTGGCCCTTGGGGACACTGGATTAAAGCCTCACCTTGAAAAACAAGGTTCCACTGGGCTCAAGATGAGAAAGAGCAGGGCTTTGTTTGCTAGGCTTCTTGACTCTAAGAGAAGGCTCAGTACAAATGAATGTAGGACAAATACATAGACAAGCAGGCATTAAATATGGGACCCACTCTTGTCCCATTTCCACAAGCTGTTGAATATACTCTAAAAATTCTTCCTTATCAACTACCAGCAAAGTTGCCCACCCAGAAGATTAGTGCCTTCTATATACATGTTGAGGTTGGGCTGCAACAGTCAAATTTTATTATACACCTCGAAATGCCTTCAATCCTTAGATAATTCCACTGAGTAGTACAAAGTCTATGATCCAGGATGCAATGAGAGGATTTGAAGATGCTTGATATGAGTTTTCTGCCACCCAAACTCTGAGGACCACTCCTCTGTCAACATGTGATCTGGAAACAAAGCTCTGAAAACCAGCGTATTAGTATCTAACCCTAACCCCTAATCCTAAACCCTATCCCTAACCCACTAACCCTAGCCCTAAACACTAAACCCAAACCAAACCCGAACCCTAAAACCTTAAAACGCTAACTGTAACCCCTACCCTTAACCCCTAACCCTTAACCCTAACCCTCTCCCTAACCCCTCTCTCTATCTCTAACCCCTCCCCCCTCCCCCGAACCCCCCTGCATCAGACACACTCACAGCGCGCCATAATTATCAATGTTCCCAGGAAGCAGGTCCAATCCATTGCAGTCCTTGAGGAATGAACTGGTAATGTGACAAGCGTGAAGCCGGACTGCGCTTCCCAGGCCCTTAGGGCCGCAGTGAAGACCCCCGCGCGGTCCGCTGAAGAGGCCCCGTCCCCTCAACCCTTCGAGGAGCGCCCCGCTCTCAGAACGGAGCCGGACC